GGGGGGGGGGGGGGGGGGGGGGACTTAGAAAAATTCCCTTCCATGGGGGAGGTATGGATATTTTCTGGAACTACACATTATAGTTTTGGTCAGATGTTTTAATTTGTTGCTCTGTCTTTTCAGACACTCTGTTGGCCCATCGCTGGGATTGCTGGACGTCTTTGGATTTGAGAAATTTGAAATTAATGGCCTTGAACAACTGTGCATCAACACTGCAAATGAACAGCTCGCATATTTCTACAACCAACGTGTGTTTGTTTGGGAACAGGTAAGGAACGATCCTGTGTTGTGAACTGACACGCTTTAATGACTTCTTTTGCCATGTTTTGCACAGTTTTCAAAAGTTATGAAAAGCACTTAACAGACTTTTTTTGCTCAAAAGAAGTTCTCAAAAGACATTTTTAATTCCATTATCGTGCTCTTAATTTCGAATCGACCTAGCGCTTCATGCTTGTCCGATTTTGAAATTACTCACGCGATTACTCCCTGAATTATACTTCAGTCGATGGGAAGTGCCAGATTTTTTCTGGAAATTGACTTTCCACATGAATAAAACATTTAAAAGATGGGATAAGTCTTGAGATCCAGTAGTTAACTTATGCTAATGAGGCTAAATTTTGACCCAATATGGTCTAAGCTCTCGTAAGCGACCACCTCTCGTAAGCAACCACTAAGGCTTGACATTTTGGGTGGTCGCTTTTGGGAGGTATGACTGTAATAAATCTTAAATAAGGAATACATTACATAGCAGTTTTAAAAGGGTCCTCAATTAAGATAAATCACTATGAACTTTCATGCTATTATATGTACTTAACAACAATTTTCAGGCGGAATTTGAATCTGAAGGACTGCGAAGTCAGAAGATATCCTATTATGATAACAAGAAAACTGTTGACCTTCTGTTGAATGTGAGTTGTCAGCTGAAGGATTTATTAATTCTGTTAAAATCATTTTAAAAAGGCTAAGCCCAAGGCTGTGTTTGATTACATGTAACAATAATATTACATTATGAGCTTAAGATTTCTATGAGGTGATAGGTTAGACAATTTCGGCAGGTGTCATGCTATGCTTAACTGTGTTAAGACAGAGCTGTTTGCTGGGATTGAATCTCACTTGTTTTCTCTTCTCATTCAGCCACTTCAGGGATTGTTGCCAATCTTCGATAGTGANTTTTTCGCCGCACACAGGTTTGTGGTTCTTCTTTATTGATTTTCCGCCTTTAACGGGACTTGGAGTTGGTTGGGGAAAGCAGTTTGATCGGGGCTATGACAAAATTTTTTCAGGCATTTTCCGATGATAAACAAAGTTCAATAGACCTTGTTACCGGTACGGCAACCATCTTGAATCCATTGTTTCAAACATCTATTATAGGATGTTCAGGACGCAAATTAGTGTATATTTGCCCCCTGAACATCCCATAATAGCAATGGTTCAAAATGGCTGCCGTATCGGTAAACAGGTCTGTTCCAAGGAAACTTCAAAGTAAGAGCAAATACTAACAGAAAACCAAAATGAAACAAGAATAGATTGCAAAAGATTGCAAAAAAACAAAAACAAACAAACAACAACAACAACAACAAAGTGAGCCCAGAGTACTCAATCTACTGGAACCCTTTAACCACTGGAACATTTCAGGACATTTGAACACTTGCTCGAGCAGATCCGACTCTGTGAGACGGGCAGTAAATTTCATTAATCAAATAGGAAACCTTCACAGGGTATTGCCTCAAGCTCAGATCGGTGAGTGTTTACGTTGTAATGTAATGTTGTAGAGCCTTACTTGTATCAGTTGCAAGGTGAATGGGAACTCATTGTTATCATTGATGGCTTGAAAAAAATTGTAACACAAAGACAAAGACATAGTTTATTTTACTTGATCGCACACTTAGCTGTGGTAACGGTGCGTCCCATAGACTTGGTAAGCAGAGTCTACAAGACGCACCAGCTAGTTTACAGGTGCGCCAGGAAAACAAACTAAATAACACTTTGTTAGTTAATTTCTAACCTTCTCGCTGATTGGTTTACCCAGGTTTTGATGACGTAGATTCGTCGGATGGATTTCCACCAATGTCTCCTCGCCCCAGCTCTCCACAGAAGAAAATCTCAAACGTGTCACTGGGTTCTGTGTCGGATCTGTTTGGCCCAGAATCACCGACTCGCCCAGGTCCCCCACGGTCAAGAGCGTCTGACTTGTCAGTGATGTCTACCGAGTCTGCGTTTTCAGTTGTGAGTTGTGGTTTTGTGATTTATTGAATTGCAATTGGTTGTGGGACTTTGTCCTATCATTCAGAGAACTGAGTGTAGCAGGGAAGAGGGTCGTAAAGGTATGGGGGGAGGGGTGCGTAGACGGTGGACAATGATGTCACAATTGGAGTATCTAGGCATGGGGAAGAATAGGAGTGGTAAGGGTCACGTTTCACGCAAAAGATAACGGTGATTTCACGTTTTACCCAGTTCACGAACGTTCTCATTATTACATGTAACAGTTCTCGGTTCTCCTTTCGCGGACAACTGTCGGGATTATTAGGTGCTAATCAACGACAGTTTGCGCACAAGGACCAGAAAACCGTCAACTTCTGGTCGCTGGACGGCATGAAGGATACAAAATGACACGGTAATCTTGTGGAGAGGGTTAGCGTCAACAAGGAAAGTCGAGATGGAATCTGAATAACCGAAAGTGCAACGGAGCTCTGTCGTCTTTGTTAAATCTGCCCCAGTATTGTGCTGTAAATCGTATCTCAAGGTTACTTAGTTATTTATTTATTACGTTTCACAAGTGAAAAAAGAGTTGCATTTCAAGGTAAAAACGTCACTCACCACTCACGAAAATATCCTTTACCAACAGCAATAGCGAAGCGCGCGAGTGACGTCAAGACTCAGACAAACTCAGACAAACAAAACGGAATGGTGAACGATTTGACGCTTTTTCAAGCACGTAAGCTAGTGTTCCTAAAACAATTTTTGAAACGAAAGTTTGGCTTTCATTTTCCTCCTATTTCTCTCAGAACACGCTTATGTTGTCTGACTCTCGCGAGATGCCAATAATTTGCATTCTATTTTTAGACTTGGCGCGCTTCGTTATTCCATCAATAAGTTCGCTTTTTGCGTAGAAAGTAGATCTCACCGTGTAGCTTCGGCATTTTTAAAATTGATCTGATGTTTGACCACATTTCCAAACACTGAGAAGAGAGTTGAAAATACGACGCGCAGCGGAGTATTTTTGACGAACTTTGAGGTGTTTGGAAATGTGGCGAAACACTGTCTTGAGTGTTTGATATATCTTCTCAATCGAAACTAAAACTTAGGAGAAAACGGAGAAACAAAATCATAAAAATCTCTGCTGATTAAGATCAGATATCCAAACACCGTCACAGTCATGATTTCCTTTGTGTAAACCCGATGAATTATTAATCAGTTTGAGAAGGTAAACTCTATTTGTTCACTTTCAGGAGTCTGATGATTTTGACGCAGCGCCTCAAGTTTGGTGTAAAATCACATGTTTTGAGAGAGAAAATCCCCAAGGAGAATTCTTTATTGATCGCCCTTCAATCATTGTTGATGGCTCTGACAATGCTTTTGACGTAACAAGGTAATTCTTATTNCCGCTGGGGGACGCGGCCCTTGTTGATCCGCGGGACGACCGATGCGGCATGAATTATTCCTAGTACGACTTTTCATATTTGTAGTGCTCGTAACCCAGAGCAGGGTGGCTGCGAGGTTGCTAGCACTTGCCAAAGGTGCCACCCCAGACTCTGGTGGGCGGGAGCGTCCAATTTCCCGAAGTAGGCTAAAGCGTGAGCTTGTCCTACTCCATGCCCTTTATTATTATTATTATTATTATTATTATTATTATTATTATTATTATTATTATTTCACAGAATCGGTCTGGGAGTTTTACCACCAAGTTCTGACCCCAAGGTTACAAAAGTTCGCAGCTGCGTGGGAAAGGTAAGTTCTTTTGTAAGGGCACATCATTGTATGGAGTCAGATGAGCCCAACAGATGCATGTTTTCCCGCGCTTACCCCGATTGCTTGTTTTCCCGCGCTTGGCACCGGTTGCATGTTTTCCCGCGCTTTTCCGCGCTTGACGCTGGTAGTTTCCATTTGCGTCGAATTATGATTGGTACTTTGCGTTTGTTGCGGTTATTTTGATTGGACCCATACGCTGTGGATTGCCACCGTGGACTGGCTTTTTACAGCAGTCGGTAAAAAAACCACAAAACAACTCTTTTTGGTGGCACACAAACCTTTCCGTCTTCTAACATTTTTTATTTCTTGGGCAGGGTGTGGAGATTGTGAACGACGAACTGGGCAATGTTTGGGCGACTCGTGGAAGCAAGAATAATATTTTTGTAAAGGTAGGAGAGAACGTACAGTGATTTATGGGCCACATAGGTTCTTATAGCTGGATGTTTACTTTGTGCTTGTTTGGTGATTTGTTTATAGGGTCATTACTTATCCGAGGATGTGATCGCTTTGCAAGGTAGCTTGGATAAAGATACCACGCTGCAAGTAGGTTTTGTTCTTTTTTATCCAATCCTAAAAACCGGGTGAACCTGGACGCGTCTCTGAGGAGTAGTACTGTTGGGGGAGGGGGCGAGGATGAGATTCAAGTCTAGCGCTGGTTCCCCAACCCGTCCCTTCCCATAGCATTTTTTTCTTTTGCCCTACCAGTTAGCTAGTATCTTTTTATATACTAGGGTTGACGAGAGGCATTGTAATAGTAATCATTGGCGGATTTAGGGGAGAGGCCCGGGTTCTCCCTCCCCTTATTTTGGGTAAAACAAAAAACAGTCGCAGAAAGGAAGAAAAGCCGGCAGGGTAAGCCAAAAAAACAAAAACCGCCGCCCCCCTCCGCTTTCCCCTCTTAGTTCAAGGTCTGGATCCGCCACTGAACTGATTTGTCTTGGCTCAAAACACAACACAATGTCCCTGGCGAGGGCGGCACCCAGACTACTCAAACCAGAGTCCAGTGCATTAAAAGGGCATTTCTGAGTTACCTTGTGCCTCTGTTTCAAAACGAGTCCGCGTGTAAAACCTTTCAAATGAAAATAAGGTTGAGTTACATGAAAATAAACCTCTAGACAGTACACATT